TGGATCCTTCAATAAATAAAGAAATATGTACAAATATATTCATTTTGAAAATTTCAATCCTGAAGCTATTACACATCTCATCACAACTCTGATTCTACATTTACTACTTCATGAACTACAAATTTCTGGGCACATGTTATAATTTGACTGAAGTAATTGGTTTCCTGCCATGCCTCCTTCAGCTTGATTCAATTGGATGTCTATTCCCATCACTAAATTGTCCACAATGATGCCTGCATTGTTATCTGACAGACACTTGACTTGTTAACATATTAAATAAATTAATGATGCATAACCTTGTCAGACAAGTAACCGAAAGCATTAATCTCTCGGTCCTTGCTAGGCTGGTTTGGCTCTCAGGTGACCCCAGATAGACGTCCTCAGCATCCATTCTCTCTGAAGGTAGCTGTAGTACCTACCAGGCTCTCAGACTCACTTGTATGAGGTGTCAGAGAGCACAGTCCTCTGGTGGAAGGGTGAATGTCTCTCCAGTTGGTTGGTGATGAAGACGGCAGTTTTGTCCCCAAACAAGACACAAAGAATTAAGCATGGTACCCTAGCCAGTCTGGAGATTTTAGAAAAATCAACCATGTCTTGTCTAGCACAAACCTGAAGCTGTTGAGGGACAATGACATATAAAATATTCACAGCTCCCTATAGCTGCTCATTAGGTACATTTCCTCCTTAACTACAATCACTTAGCAGCTGATTTCCTTCATGGACACTGGTCTGGAAAAAAATGAAACATCAAAAAATACACTAGTCAGTCCTTCACTCCAACAAATAAAGACCCTTCTGCATGGACACCAATTTTCCATACTTCAACAAGTAGATGAACAGGATGAACAAGAAACATAGTACATAGTTAATACAATGTATGATCGAAATGTTCACTTTAGCATATTTAAGGCAAGTGGCAAGGCCATATTTGTTCAACTATTTGTTTAGATTTACCTTTTCATATACAAAACATTTTGACTCAGGAGACAGACATCCAGAGAGAAAAGCACACTCACAGGGTGCTGGTATATAGAGACTCTTTTCCTCCCGTCCTCCAGCACTCCAGTCCTGACCACACATCCATCCATTGAGATTTCAGGCTGATTGGACTCAGGACTTGAACCAGAGTCCTCATGTGGCTTCCAGCTCCATGCTTTGAGATGGTATGGCTTCACCACAGAGTTCAGGCCTATCAATTTTTGACTGTGATTACAGTAGGCATGTGAACTCTGAGCTGACTAACAGAACAGGATTCTAATGAGCGAATTACAGGTAATCAAACACACTAATATATTAAAGTCTACATTTCAGATGGAGATACTGGGAGCAAGGACATACACTTACATGAAAATCTACCATTTCAGATTTGCCTAGACTCTAAATTACATTAATGGCATTAGTTGTCAAATGTAATGTGCTTTTTAGAGAAGAGTATGGAGAAGGATAGTAAAAGAACAAATAGAGAGGCATGACATTAGTCGGATTCAGATATGATTTATTACCTGTTGATGATGACATGTATAGTATTCTCAACTGGACAGGTCTGAGAAGTATTTCATGTTGCATAAAGTCTTTTCACAAGCAAAATGATAAATAGTGATTGAATGTTTAAAAAATTGGAATAATAATAATAATCTGGGAAAAAAAAGAAAAGCTATTGGATGATGATGGGGATTTTAATGCCTTTGTATTGACTAATATGAATGGTATTCTTTCTGGAAAAAGAAAT